AAAGAAGATTTTAAAACGAAAAAACAAAAAGGTTAGCGCCATCAAAAACCAGCGAACTCTGCTAGCAACAATTTGTCGTCTAATGGAAGACGAAAGCTTAATTGTTTGTGTTTCAAGGCTGATTGATTCAGCCGAAAATGAAAAAATTCTACCATTTGGGTTCAAAATCAAGACAAAATTGATTCCGTGTGGTGTGAAATTTAATAAAATCCATACTAATAATCTAGTTCATGTTGGCGTGGATGGGGTCAAGCCTATCGAGGCAATGATCGTAGTTACGGCTGGTAAGTTTATTTGTTTATTCTGATTCCCAAATTCTAATTTATATTACTTTGATTTTCAGAGGATTCTAACCTCCGAACAACAAGAAACAATTGTTTTTGAACAAATTTGTGACCCACAAAATGTACCAGAAAAAATTCAAGATCATCCAGTCCCAGATGATTTACCAGAAAAAATTCAAAGTTGTTCATCCGAACAAAAATCAGTCCATGAAGGAATGGCTTTGACTCAACCTCTCCCACTTGCAAGTTTAAGCGCTGAACAGTTGACTCTTTTTGAAAACAGAGTTTCAGCTATTCCACTGCAAGTCAAAGATAAGCCGACCATTAATCGTGGAGATGGCGCTAAAAATGTAAGTGGTGCTATAGATGATATTACCGATTCATCAAGAGATTCAGTGATTACCAAATTAACCACTACTAAACCAGAATCATCTCATGCTATTGAATCTTTTCAACCTGATCAATATTCTAAGACCAGACAGCACCCAAAAAAAGATGGATCAATCTCTACTTACACTGATGGTGAATTCGTTTCATCAGAAATTTCGCTAAGTGAAAATTATCTCAGCCCTGTTCAAAGCTCAACACCGAAGCGCCAGAGTGAGGAAGAGGTCAATGAATCTGATAAAAAGTTGAAAGTTTCTTTGTCTGGAAATGAAGATACAGATTCAACTTCAACGATTATATCAACAAAATCTCGAGATATTCCAGCAACAAAGAAAGACTCACAAATTAGTCAGTCATCATCAAGACCTCGTTGGATGGATTTGACAGACGAGGAAATCGAGGAAATGCTCGCAGCTCGAAGTAAACGGGGCAAAGATGAAAATCAAGCTTAATTGTGTTGAAAATGAGAGAATCAGGTTTTTATATTGAATCTACATTTAGAAAATTACAATTTCAATTATACAACATTCCAATCAATTATATACTTAGTTACAGAGTAGAGTGAAGAAATAGTTTCCCCCTCTCTACATTTTACCTTTATTTACCTTTGTTGATCTCTTCAAATTTTTCTATTTTTTTCTACGTTTTCACTTTCAAATTATGTCGAAATTTTTTCCAATCAAGGAGAAAATCAATCACCTTGATGAAGAGCAAATTTTTACAGTGTCTTGCGATTTTAATTGCAAATCTCAAAAATTATTCTCATTGGTTAGAATTTGTTGAATCAACTCAACTCGAAACCTGATTCTCTTTTCCCTCATTTATTTTGTTACTCTCAATCTCACAGTCACTAACTTTTTGATACTTACCAAATACTTTTGAATATTTTTCAATCTCAACAATACAGTTTATATTTTTGCAAATTATTGATTTCGTTTATCTACTTATTTTTTGTTAATTCTAATTATTTTTGAATATGCTTAGAAGCAAAGTTAAAAAGAGTCTTGTGAATAATTTCAATTCTGTGAAATAACCAATCAACCCTGTGCAAACCTTTCGTTCTAGTTCATGTTCAGCTGCTACAACTAAGCCATCACAAGCCAAGGATCTCACCGCTCCTAGTACATCAACCGGTGGTTTAACTCCACAACCTCGAAAAAATCCCGATGCAATTGGAAAAAAGATATATGCAATTATACTACCCTTGATTCTTGACGAAAACAAAAGAAATATGGATCAACCTATTTTAGTTTCTGTTTCAGCATCAAAACTCGACCAAATTGGAATTTCTTTAACTGCTGATTTTTTTCAAGATGAAACTCTGAATCTCTTCAAAACAAAGGTCAAAAATAAGGAGATAACTTTCAGAATGGTTGCTGTTGGGGGTGAGTTAATCAAATTATAGTTGCCAATCAAGTGTTAAATTTTCTCTTTTCTCTCATCAATATCTAGATGATTTTCCAGCTTTACGATTATCTTTGGTTTCTAATTTGAAACAATGTCCTTTCTGGAAATCACTGAAAAAAGTAATCAACTATTCTGAAAATATCCTGGAAATTGATCATGATGCCTCTGCTCTCCAAGATGATTCTCTTCCTTACCTAAATATGAATGAAAGTGAGTTGAAAGATCTGTTTAAAGAAAATTCCATCGCTCAAGCTACAACAATGATTGAACGAATTGTTGAGAAAGATGCTGCTCTTGGCGATAAAAGACAAGATCTTGTAGATTTGACGAAACCGCGAGATTCACAAAAATTGAAATCATCAGAATCTTTTCAAGAAAAAGAAAAAGAATGTGGAGTGATAAAAGCTTCGAAAACTAAGACTGATTCTGGTGAAATCGTGGTTCAACGAGGAGCAGAGACCAAAGAAAAGAGAAAGCTCATGGTTGAAAATATTCATGATCAAATTGAAGAGTTGAAAAGAAAGAAAGTCATTCTATCTGAATTAGATGCTACTGGTATTGTTTTGAGAAAAGTCGTGGATACTATCGATACAATGTACGATTTCATCAGAGAAAAGTACAGAATAACTCATTCAAGCTCTTATAAGGTTCCAATTGACAAAACTTTCAAAGTCAAAGAAAAGGTATTTCAATTCAATTTATTTATAGCTTCAATGAAATTAACGATTCTCATTAATTTTTTCCAGAATCAAATTTTCATTGAAGGGCTGTTGGAATTGCCCCTGGACAAATATAAAAATGCTTTAAGATTAGCCAAGCCTAATGCCCCAGCCATTGGTTATCAAATTATTAAAACAGCTTTTCCCGAATCTTATTACAAAAATGTAACTCTTGGAAAAAAATCATATAAAAATGAACAACTTCATTCATATAAATTCGTGACAAATGGAGGCGAGAATTCAACTTCGGTACCATTGGCTTTTGTTTTCGCATTTGCAGACCCTTTCTCAAAGCCTTATGAAGGTGAAATTGATCCTGAGCTTGGACAATCAAGAATCAATTCATTTCAAGGTAAATGAATAAAAATATCAGATTAAAGTCAAAAATAGAATATAATTCAACATTAACAACGTTTTTTTCAATTATAGATCACATATTCCGTAGATCTGGCGTGGAAGAATATACTGAAAAAGAATTGAATGATGTACGGCAAAGGTTGATCAGGATTTTGGGTTCATTGAATAGAAAATCAAAATCAACAGAAGATTCTGATCCCGAGGATGGCGAGGAAGGAAATGATCTTGAAGATCAAGATGAAGATGAGCAAAGTGGAGTTTATTCAAAATCATTTGATCTTGACATTCTAGAAGATATTCAAACTTAGTAGAATTGGATTATTCCGACAAATTTAGAATCTCTTTCTGATTCATTAATAAAGATTTTTTTGCAACTGAAATTGAATTCTACATATTTATTGATTATCAATAAACTGAATGAATTCAACAAATTTGCAAGGAATATATCGCGGTTAGAAAATATTCACATGCAAAGATTTTATTCACAAAGTTGTGAATAATTTGCAATCAGACTAAAATCTAAAGATCTCGCGATTTCGGTTTTTATCCATTGATAATTTTAATTTTGATTTTGAAATCTTGTAATTTTCAAAGTCTAAAATTTTGTTTTGTGATGCAAATTCACTCAATTTTCACTCAATTTTACTCAATTTTTACTCAAAAACTCGTTGACTCAAAATTGAGTAAAAGTGGTTACCTGACACCTTTTTTTGACTACATTTTGAGTCAAAACTGTTGATTGGGGAAATAAATTGGTGGACATGATTGTGACTCGATTACTTGGATGGCCAACAAATGTACCTTGTTTAAGTACATCGATGTGAGATGACAACTGATGTGAGTAAACCAAAGCGCTTATTGGGCTAATTTTTTATTGTTTCTTCCGGGTTTTTGTTTTCAATATCAACAGTGGAACTTTTGTCGTTTATTATTTCAATCGACTCATTTCTCGTTATATTTTTCTGTTTGGATGTTGTGACGGTTTTAAAATACAACGAATAAAATAATACATAATGGAATACAACGAGAGCGATCACTGAGATAATAAAGGCGAAAACTCGTAATATTATCAACAGAATATAAAAAAATGAAGATTCGAGAGGGAGTGAACCGATTTTGAAAGGGTCACTATAATTGATCAAGTCGTCAATGTCTCAAATGTTTCAAAGCAAAAAGATAGATAATCGATATTGACCAGAATTCACTTGATCACAGTCGAGGAAAATCTTTGCCTTATTACAACAGAACAATTTTCAATAAAGGAAAACGACTGTCGACTTAAGTGATGGTCAAAGGAAAAATATTTTCATATCTTGAATGGAAACCAAGGAGATCGAAGTTCAAATTAAATGTCAGTTCATCAGGATCGTTAGTCTAATTGAATATTAGTTGGACTGAAACATGGATTTACTGTTTGATTCGTAAGTGTAGTTTCTCTGTAAAAAAGATGATAGATTAGAATTAAATTCTATTTAAATTATTACCTTGAATCAGGATGATCTGTATCACAGATTGAACATTCACCCGATGATAATGAGCTTCCTCGTATCCATTGACAATATCAAACATGACAACAATATGACAAATATCAATATATTTGCCCGAGAACGGTTTATATTGAACTCTAATATCATTCCGATTTCAAATGGTCTCTCCTGATAACTTTTGGATTGACACTTGTATTCGTTACTCTTGATGTTTTATTTTGAACTACTGGTTATTAGAATAAAATCTTGGATCTTATCGATTTTATCGCTCATTCAATTTCTCAAACTTTCTCGAAAAAGTGACTTTCTAGACTATCATAATTTTTCCATGACAATTAGAGGTAATCATAAAATGGTGGACATCAATTAAAGTATTAGATAATTTAATTGGACTCATAGTTAGCAGAATTTAGATAATGTTTCGAGAGAATCATTTCTACTTCTTTTTTTTGGTTTGGGTGTTGCGATGGTTTTGGTTTTTGAAGGGTTTCTCTTGTGGACTTTTGGGTCAATTGGATTGCTTTGTTTGCTGATCAATTCACGGGAATAGATCTTTGGTATGAATGCTGACAGAGATTTGAAAGTTAATAATGATTTATAACGGACTCTTTGGTCAAGTAGTGATCCTTTGGCTGGATGATTTTTTGTCTGGTCTATTGAGTCCTTATGTTTTCTGGTCACAATATAAAATACAACGATCCCAATGATAGAGATAATGAAGGAGCAAGTTAGTAATATTATCAACAGGCTTGCTGAAGATGAAGATTCAGGAGTCGGAGGTGAAGGATAAAATGGAGGATAAGTAGGAGTCGAGGGTGGAAGAGGTGAAGAAGGTGGAGGAGTCGGAGGTGGAGTCGGAGGTGGAGGAGGAGGTGGAGGAGGAGGTGGAGGAGGAGGTGGAGGAGGAGGTGGAGGAGGAGGTTGACCGATGAAGAAATTGTAACTATAAGTGTACAAATTTTCATTCCTATTGTTTACTAATGAAGCACTTTGTCGTCTAGGCATCACGATATGTAATCTATATGTACCAGGATCCACTCGATCACAGTTGATATAAACCGTTGACCCATCATACCGAACATGAGAACAGCTACTAATAATGGAAGGTATTGTTAAGTGGACTAAAGTTATAGTCAATGGGAAAATATCTGCATATCTTGAATGGAAACCAATGAGATCGAAGGTCAAATTAAAGTTCGTTCTGTTAGGACTGTAGTTTACTATCCGAACGTTAGTTACATTAAAACATGGATTTAGTATAAATGTACCGTTTCTGTTGAAATGATGATAAATTAGAATTAAATCAAACAAATAGGAAAGAGAAGAGACTAATGATGACGAGACTATTTAAATGATTACCTGTAATCAGTTGAATTAACATCACCGATTGAACATTCACCCGATGTGATTGAATCTCCTCGTGTCCATTGACAATATCGAACATAATTACCATCTTGGTCATAGATTTGGGTTGTAAAACAATCAATACACGAATTGTTTAGAAAAGGACACAAAATAATTGAATCAGTGTAAGTATACTGATTAAGTGTAATTATCACACGTGGATGAGTGAAACCATAGTAATAAATTTGTGATTCTGCTCGATTTACATTAAAGATATTACGATGAGCAAAAACCCTTTCAATCGGGTGGGTCATAGTAGAAAAATTTCCATCAACAAAATGAATTGAATATCGATATATGGATAGGAAACTGTCAGAAGAAAGAACGAGAAAAACATAACCAGGAGTCGCATCGAGAGCCAATGGAACGTAATCGATTATTTGAGTCCAAGTATCATTTAGAATACCTGAAAGAATAGTACCTGGCAACGTCCCTCTCATCATAGATACTTCTACTCCGTCTCTTTGGCTTACACGAAGACACCCATTATAATTGTAAACATCACGATCCCAAAAAGTTGATGTAGGTGGACAACTTTGCATGTGACTTTCAAAGTAATTGGTTATCGAGTTAAATGGAACCACTACAATATGATTTCTTTCATTAAGATAATAAAGGATCACAATCAAAGAGAATGAAGATCCATCGCTCATGAGATGAGATGAATTTACAAATCGAACTTTTTCAACTGGACCATAAAAATAGTCAAATGTAGGCAAATGCAGTTCTTTGTAGTTATAATAAGCAATTCCCTGGTTAATTTCAATATTTGATATCTGAGAGATAAAGTTAACTGGTCTTCCAAGGTTAGTAAATGTTAGAACGCCGAATGCGTAAATTTTTTCATCGACCTTGAAACTGTGAATAATTAGAAACGATTCAACGTTGGGATCGATTGAAGTAAAAGTACCATGACTGTACTCTAAACTGTCATCTCGAAAAAATTGAACAAAATAAAATAACGTTACAAATGATGGAAAGTTTGTCGAGCCAGTGTTCAATCCAATTGCATACGATGAACTATTCAAGCGAATCCAACGATTAAGTTCGTAGATTGTGTGACTGGTATACTCACCAATGAGCTCGATGAAGAATTGAACATTGTGATATTTCGCGAACGTTGAAGTACTGATCTTACAGTGCAAATGGTATTGATTGAGCACCGGCGAATAAGAATAAGCTGGTGTAAAATAAGTCGCGCTTCTTTCTTGACCGACTGCCCTAGGGTCCGTGTTGAGAATTTGAGTCGACATTAAGTAAAATCTATCACCAATAGCAAAGAAATAAGGAGCTGATAGATTGTTGTTAAAAATTGGAATCCAAACATTTGATTCATGGATTATAAGATTAGTATTAACACCAAGTATCCATGAAAGAAATATACAAAATGAAGAAAATCTTGTCAATGAAATTAAATGAAACATTTTTTTCGAGAGAGGAAAATATTACAAACAATTTACTCTTCATTGTATCCATTGGATATTTAAACTGTGGTTTGTTCTGATTGTGGAAACACAATTAGGATTATATTCATTGGATAATTATCGACATTTATTTTCGTCCTCGAATCCTAAATGTTCATCTTTCCATGATCAATGACAATGTTATATTTGGGTCTTATGTTGGTCTTAGTTAAGATTCATTTATTAACTTGATGATTAACACAAATTACAGATTGAATGTGAATTCGGTTTACTATAGAAATGGAAAATTAATCAACTAACTCTGGTCAATTTTGTTGGTTAAAAATCAGAAATTAATTCTAATTGGTTCGAGTTTAATTGAATCATTTTTATCGTTTTCAAACTTTTGAGTTTGACTGAATAATTGCAATTATCGTCATAATTTCCATTGACAAATTTTGTTTTCGTTCTTGATTTAATTGCGTTTAATATGAACAGTACGATACTTGTATTTGTTACTCTTGATTCTTTATTTTGAACTACTGGTTATCGACTTTTCTGAGACGATGAAAGAAAACTCGGTGTTTTCTCTATTTAGCTCGCTAAAAGTAACAGTTCTAGAAATGGAAATAACATGAAAGGTTCATTTCGAAAGTTCGAGAAGTTTTTATTCAACCTAATTCATGAATATGTTGTTTTTGGAAATTTAAAATTTACAGAATCACAAAGTTGGGGATCTAAAATGACAATTAAATGAGAGCAAAATTTAATTTTCAAATAAATCACTTCGTTTTCTTGGTGAATTTCTGTTAACAAAACCAATAAGTTCTATCGGTTACATAAAAGTCGTAGATAGTTTTCGAAGTGCTTATCGAAGAGAGAATTCGATCAATTCGATTTTGGGTTTTTGATAATATTCAATTCAATTCTGAAATATACGGAAATGGAAATTGTACTAATTTTCTTTTAACATGGTTAGGATATCGATCATTCTGATAAAATCAAGAATGAATCTTTCATTTTTTAAATTTTGTTTTAGAAGATTCTTTTCTCATTTTTTTTGACAGTTTAGGTGTTGCGATGGTTTTGGTTTTTGAAGGGTTTCTCTTGGGGACTTTTGCGTCAATTGGATTGCTTTGTTTGCTGATCAATTCACGGGAATAGATCTTTGGTATGAATGCTGATAAAGATTTGAAAGTTAATAATGATTTATAACGGACTCTTTCGTCAAGTAGCGATCCTTTGGCTGGAAGATTTTTTGTCTTGTCTATTGAGTCCTTCAGTTTTCTGGTCGCAATATAAAATACAACGATCCCAATCATAGAGATAATGAAGGAGCAAGTTAGTAATATTACCAACAGGCTTGCTGAAGATGAAGATTCAGGAGTCGGAGGTGGAGGATAAGTAGAAAGAGGTGGAGGAGGATAAGTAGGAGGGGGATGGAGGAGGTGGAGGATAAGTAGGAGGAGGTGGAGGTGGAGGTGGAGGAGGTGGAGGAGGAGGAGGTGGAGGAGGTGGAGGAGGTGGAGGAGGTGGAGCCATGACGAAATTGTAACTATAAGTGTACAAATTTTCATTCCTATCGTTTACTAATGAAGCACTTTGTCGTCTAGGCATAACGATATGTAATCTATATGCATCAGGATCCACTCGATCACAGTTGATATAAACCGTTGACCCATCATACCGAAAAGGAGAACAGCGACTAATAATGGAAGGTATTGTTACGTGGACTAAAGTAATAGTCAATGGGAAAATATCTGCATATCTTGAATGGAAACCAATGAGATTGAAGGTCAAATTAAAGTTCGTTCTGTTAGGCCTGTAGTTTACTATCCGAACGTTAGTTACATTAAAACATGGATTTTGTATAAATGTACCGTTTCTGTTGAAATGATGATAAATTAGAATTAGATAAACATGTACGAGAAGAAACAATTTATTATTATTATTATATATTTTATATCATTACCTGCGTTCAGGGGACTGAGAATCAGGGATTGAACATATACCCGATGTTAATGAACTTGCTTGCCATTGACAATATCGAAAAAAAAAACCATTCCGATCATAAACTTGTGTTGTAAAACAATCAAGACATGAATTAAGCAGAAATGGGCACAAAATGATTGATTCAGTGTAAGAATACTGATTAATATTAATTATGACTCGTGGATGATTAATACCGTAGTAATAAATTTGTGATACTGCTCGATTTACATTACCGATATTACGATGATTGAACACCCTTTCAATCGGGTGGTGCGTTACAGCATAATTTTCATCCAAAAAGTGGACTGAATATCGATATATGGATAGGAAACTGTCAGAAGAAAGAACGAGAAAAACATAACCAGGAGTCGCATCGAGAGCCAATGGAACGAAATCGATTATTCGAGTCCAAGTACCATTAAGAACATTTAAAATAACCATATGCGCGAACTCACTTCTTATCATCCATACTTGTGCGTCTCTTATACGAAGGCACCGAGTGTAAATATTCTGATCCCAAAAATTGTCTGTAGTATCACAACCGTCCAATTGTCTTTCAAAGTCATTAATTATTAAATTAAATGGAATAACTACAATACGATCTCTCATCGTATAACGATAGTAAGAGACTGCAATGAGAGAGGAGAATCTCGAAAGAGAAGCATTGCTCATGAGAGAAGGTGAATTCACAAATCGAACTTTTTGAATTTCACCATAATTCGGGTGAAACGAAATCGAACGAAGTTCTTTGTAGTTAAAATGATCAACGTTTTGGTTAATAATAATGTTTGATAGCTGAGAGACAAAGCAAATCGATACATTAAGGCTAGACAATGTTAGTTTGCCGAACGCGTAAATTTTTTCATCGACTTTGAAACTGTGAAAAATTTCAAACGAGCGAACGGTGGGTTCGATTGTTCGAAAGATTTGCTGATTGTAACTTGAACTAAAATCTCCAAAATATTGCACAGTAGAAAATAAAGTTACACCTAGTGGGGGCTCCACCCATTGATAACTGATTTCCCATCCAATTGCATGCGATGAGCTATTGAAGCGAATCAAAGGATGCAGTATGTTGACTGGGGGATCGGTGTGAGAAGACACAAACATAATTTCGGGGAACATATTATAGATTGCGAACATTGGTGATCCACTCTTTAAGTGCAAAAGGCATTGATCGTATTGCGGACAGTAAGAATGAGCTGGTGTGAAATAAGTCGCGCTACTTCGTTCACCAACGGCGTTAGGGTCCGTGTTGAGAATTTGATATGACATTAAGTAAAATCTATCACCAATAGCAAAGAAATAAGGAACTGATAGATTGTTGTTAAAAATCGGAATCCAAACATTTGATTCGTGGATTATAAGATTAGTATTAACACCAAGTATCCATGAAAGAAATATACAAAATGAAGAAAATCTTGTCAATGAAATTAAATGAAACATTTTTTTCGAGAGAGGAAAATACTAACAGTTAACTGTTCATTTGATCAATTGGATATTTATATTGAGGTTTTTTTTTGCTGCCAAAATACAATTAGGATTATATTCATTGGATAATTATTGAGTTTTGTCTTCGAATCCAAATGTTTATTTTTAAAGTCTAAGTTACATTAGTCTTTAGAGTTGGTGTTTGTGTTTGAAGATCCAATCGTGATTACAACTTAAGAAAACTTTTAATCAATCTAAACAATTTAAATCTAAAGGAAATCATAAACTGGTCTAACATTCACAGTAATACGTTAATCTATCAAGTTTACAATAGATTCTGGGTGGATCTTGAGTACCGGGGTCAATTTGTCGGTAACTAGCATTTGGTGCTAATATGGTTGCATGAGCTCGACGGTTTAATGTTCTTGCACTGATTATCACAGCACTAAAGTCAAGACCGTGTACCGAGTTATTGGTGCTGTTGATACAGAACTTGAGTCTTGGGTTGACGATAATGTTGATGACTGATTGGAGAGGCAACTGTTTAATGCTCGAGCAATTTTTCTCATACATATGTATTATACCAATGGATCCGAATTTTGTCAAATCTTGAAATAAATTGGTGGAAATAATTGTGACTCGATTACTTTGATGGCCTGCCATAAAAGTAATTTAACAAGGTACATTTGTTGGCCAACAAATGTACCTATAAGTGAATATCTGGCCTGTGAACATAAAACTTGACCGAAGAAAACTCGGTCTTGTCCTTAATTCGCTCGCATAAAAAATCTTAGAAATGGAGAAAAAGGTAACATGAACTGTTCATTTTGAAGTTCGAAAGTTTCAACCTAACTGATGAATATGTTTTGTGAAATTTCAAATTTCATTACCTTTTGTGACTAATAAGTATTTATCTTGAATCTCAGAATTCAACTTGGATTTTCTGAGGGATTGCAAATGGAATGAAATCAATTATTCGATTCCAATCACCATAATGAATACTTTCTATCTAATACAAATGCACCAAGGTCCCAATTTCTCATCATTAATGAAATCGATGTTCAATTTGAATTAAGACATGGAATTCCTCGTCTTCGGAATTGGAGCTGACTTGCTTAGATAAACTAACGGCCTCATAGCGAACTATTATGCCCATCGGTATCGAGCAGGGTTTATTAAGTAAAATTAGGCTGTAACTTTCCGAATCTAGAGTAATTTGAGACATGTTGATTGTCGAACTGTAAATCAATTGACTCAGATGAGTATTCATAATGAAAACGAACTTTCAAATTCGATAATTTAATTCGTTCGAAGTTGCCGTCAACTGATGTGAGTAAACCATAGCGCTTTTTGGGCTAATTTTTTATTGTTTCTTCCGGGTTTTTGTTTTCAATATCAACAATGGGACTTTTATCGTTTATTATTTCAATCGACTCATTTCTCGTTTTATTTTTCTGTTTGGGTGTTGTGACGGTTTTGAAATACAACGAATAAAATAATAAATAATTGAATGCAACAAGAGCGATCACTGAGATAATAAAGGCGAAAACTCATAATATTATCAACAGAATATAAAAAAATGAAGATTCAAGAAGGA